TCCCAGTGGATTGAGGAGCTATCAAGTGGTATGATGCTACATATCCACCAACTAGCTGTTAAGCAACTATGCTTTAAATATCATTATGATAGAAATGGCAAATAGGTCTTCGTTGAGTGTTTGCTTTTTTTAAAGCAAGTAAAATTCTCGGAGATTTTTACCCCTACATAAGTTAGGGAAAGACAGTAAAAAAAAGAGAGAGATCCCTTATTGTGGGCAACTGCAAAGGAAGATTGCAATACTTTAGGTGTGACCTTCCAATTTTGATGAGTACACAGTTCAAGAGAAAGTTAATGTCAAAAAGAAAAAAAGATGAAAGTTTAAGTATAAAGAAGTAAGCCTAGCTAATTATATCCTGGAAGAGAAAGCAAATATTGTTTCAAAAGGAGAATTTTTAAAATATATACAAATAAACACATTATTTTATTGTATTGTTGATAAATTATTTATTACATATAGTGTATAACTTGTTGATGATGAATTTTCTATTACCTCACACATATAAAGGGAGGAAACAAAGGAGGAGAAGGAGGGAAGGAAGGATTGAAGGATGGAAGAAAGGAAAAAGTAAAGAAATTCTAAGTCCTACATTTCTTGAATGAACAAAACAGCATAGTTAAACTTAGAGAAGCCAAATTTCTGTTCTTAAATTTTCCACAAGAAATATTAAGTCAGTCTCTCTCTCTCTCTCTCTCTCTCTCTCTCTCTCTCTCTCTCTTTTAGTACCAGGGATTGAACCAAGGAGCACCTAACCATGGAGCCACATCCCCAGCCATGTTTGTATTTTATTTAGAGACAGGATCTGGGCTAAGCTGCTTAGGGCATTGCTAAATTGTTGAGGCTGGCTTTGAACTCACGATCCACCTGTCTTAGCCTCCTGAGTCATTGCAATTAGGGGCATACAACTGCTACCAGCATTAGTTTCTTTTTAAAACACTCCAGCAAGTCCGTTAATTGTTTCTAAAGGATAAAGCTTATTTAAACATTTTATCTGAAAAATATTTCTTAGTAAAATTTTATCAATGATAAAAGATAAGTTATGACCAAATAGGATAAGCCATTTTGATTGAAAAATAAATGTTGAAAAAGTGGTAGTTTGTGACAAAGTCAGTGTCATTCAGAGTAAAAAGCAATATTAACACATGGGTGACATCAGGATAGGAAGTTGAAGGTCACAGTTATAATTTGATGAATTATTACATGAAAAGATAAAAAGCACTCACATAAAAATCAAGATTGATTGTCAAACATAATTTGGTAGGGAAGGGAGTTAAGTTGGATGTCTAAGAAAAATAAGAAGAAAACAACAAATGAAAAGACTACAAGGAAGAAAATTCCTTATAATTATCTTTTTAGTTCTCTCTGAGTAGTGTGGAGGAAATTCTGTAAATGGTCATTTTAATACAAAAATATGTCTACTACTTCACTGAAACTGATTTAAAACTAAAGATGAAGAGTCATATACACTAGGTAGCATTTTCTCATTAAAAAAGGAAGAAAATATTTCTCTGAAAAATCAGATTCTACATTTAATTCCACCCCAAATCTTCCTTATGTAGCTATCTATAGCTTTAAGAAAGTAAGGATATCACTAATATGGGGGTGTTTTGCTAATTTATAGAGAAAGAGACCATTTTACATAATACTTTACATAACTGAAATTAACCATTACTTTTTCTATTGAATTGGAAATCTTCAGTGAAGAAATTACCTTTATCTAGTCAGATACCTTAAATGATCAGAAAGCAATGGATATATTTTACACACTCACAAATGGTATAAACTAAAAGTCACTTGGCTCCTGAGTGTCTTCATTCCCATCAAAGAACTGATTTTCTGAAACTATACACTCTGATGCCCATTTGTATAGTTGATTCTATTAACTATTTTCTAACTCTGCCTTTAATTATCAATAGAAACATGCTTCAAAGCACGTTATCATTTAAATCTCATCTGTTTAGGGTGGGTGTAAAGATTTTTTTTAATAATTCTAAAGGACAATAAATTGATGCAATAACGAATTTGAAGATAATTTCAGAAAAGTACAAGCTTCATTTATAAGAGTATCTATTTAAAAAATCCATCCACCTACTATAGAAGGAAGCTTGCTGGCTTATGCCATTTTGATGTAAAAGTTGTTAAATAATAAGTCTCAATTACTTGGTTATGCATTTGGTTTCAAACTTTGCTTTTAGTATGGAGAGGCTGTTCCCAGGCAAATTTTCAGCTCATAATCAGTTCAAAAGGCTTCCCAGCTGTACCTTTCTGAACTACAATAAATACATCTCTGTCCAGTCTCATCATCTTTAGCATCTGACATTCTGTAGCAGAGAGTTTTGAAATCATATTTTATGGCAGTAAATCTGCTAGGGAAAATTTATTGACTTAACAATCCCATCCAACATCTCCTGTCATGTGGAACTGTCCCCAGTACAAGGCAGATTAGTGAATGTGAGCTGCTTCAATTTGGCCCAAATGTTTGGCAAAAGAATTTTCTATTACATGGGTGGGTGAGATCAACCAAGTTTGGAACCATTCAATTTATTCTGTGGCAACAGTGTAAGAGAACACGACGGTGACTACAGCTGAATTTGAGTACACTTCCTTCTATTGAAGCTCTGATGAAGTAGCTATGCTGAGATGATAACTTGTTATTACTCAATTTATTTTTTAAGTAGACTGAAGTACTTACATTTTGGTATCTCCTTCTATCATAGATTCTAGGCACAATTAGATGGTAGTTGGAGCTCAATATAAAGAAGCCAGTTAATAGTTAATATGCAATTTCCTGTGTCCCCAGGATCAATCATACATTTCCCTCATACAAGGTCAATAAATAAGAACAGTGGACTCTTCTAATTCACTTTTAAGTAGTATGCTAGACTTATTTCAATTTTTACAGTCTGCAATCTCATGTAACTTTCAACATTCCACACTCAAATAGGAATACAAACAAAAATAAATTGGTTTAAAGAAAACAAATAATATTATGTCTGTGGCCTCTTCATATTTGCAAAATACGTGACATATTCAACAAATATCTGAAAATAATAGATTTATGATGCAACATATACAGAGATGTAAACTTGTTATAGAGTTAGTAAAAGCAATGAAAAGAAATGGCAATTCTTTCTAGTGACAAGAATTTCCTGCTCTTGAAAATAGAACTCGTCATTTCAGAAGATTAGTAAATGTTGATAAATTATAGTTAGATCAACTTGATATTCTGCAAGGACTCTCATTTGAATTAAATGCAAAAATTTAAATTATAAAGAAGAATAAAATCATTATTTTATAACATTAGATCATATTTTGAGGAATGTAAACTACATGGATAATAAATGGAATTGAATTGCTGGGCAGTTTGTTTTTCATATAAGTACTAGATTGCTTTTATAAGTTTTATAAGGATCTCATACTAAAACTTCACATTAAGCTTTTAAAATAGTGTCAAGCAAGCAATAGATATTTTGTAAATATTTTTATTGTTGATGAAATATGCTTTCCTAACAGGAATTTTCATTTCTGGTATGTGTAGAATTAATGAAGATAACTTATAGATCAATAAGATTTCTCTATTTGAGTATCATATTTTTCCATAGAATAGAAGTTAATTGCCCTAATTATCATTTTAATGATATTAGTGCCTTCTAAAATATTCAAACTTATCAAAATTACAGCAGTATCACAAAATATATATAAATAAGTGGAAAATACTTTCATCTTTTCTTTTTTTGGTTGTTTGTTATTGTTGTTTGTTTTTAGGTAGGGACTCTATGATGCCCTGGTTGGTCTGGAACTCCTACACTCAAGTGATCCTCCCATCTCAGCCTGTCAGGTTGTTGAGACTACAGGCATGCACCGCTGCACCCAGCATTATCTCCATTGCATAGATAAAACCAATGGTGAATCATGAAAAAATATTTAAAATTAACTTTTTCAAGGCTGCAAAGAATGTCAGGTCCATCTATGGTTGATCATAGACTTAAAGTAATCCAGATTTTAGAATTTAAACAATCTTTAAAAGTACCTGATCTGAGAATTTCTTTTAAACATTAAGACACTATAACCAAGATAGATGAAACAATTTGTCCAGAGTAATAGAGCTGATAATGTAGCAGATAAAATCTTCCTTAAATTTCACAGATATGACAGTAATTTATATTTTTAACAACCCTGTTAATCATTATTTTTAAATAAGAGTTTATATTCCTTTATAAATCTATTTAGTTACAAATTTTAAATGTGATCATTTTACATGTTGTGGTTATATCCAGAAACTTACATTGTTCATCTACTTAATAATGCTAACAATACACAAGGTAGAGCCCATGTCCTTTGCTTGCATTTTAATAAGACAATGATGTAAAGTTTCTCTTTGCTATCATTTATGAAGCTTTATGTGGCACATAGTACATTCCTAAATATCTTATAAAGCCCCCAGTGACAACTTTCCATTATCCCTCTCCAACATACAGCATACACAATGGTAATATAATTTTTTGCACACAAACAAAATGACAGCGAAGCATTAAGATGACTGGAGCTCCCATCCTGGAACTAGTTCCACATGATATAGCAGACTGCATCATTTCTACCAATCTAATACGAACCCAAACTATTATCTACTGTAATATATCAAATGTAAAATACTGCATTTGTCTCTTCAGAAGGAAGCAGTACCTTAGATATAAGAATGCACCACCTGTATGACCCACCCAACCAGTGATTTGATGTTTTCATAGATATTAATATCTTGGTCTCACAAACAATACCAGCTCTACATAGAAATTTTCACAGAAAAAAAAAATGGAGATGCTTCATAATATATCCTGGAATTACATAAGAATTTCTATTTATTTTTTTAAAAATGATTTTTTTCTTACCAAGGATACTCTAATTCAATGCACATTTCTTCCACAAAGTATGATGATAAAGACATTTATGTTTCATGTAGTAATTTATCAAAATATCAAACATTTTCTCAAGTTTATGCTCACCTGTTCAGAAAAGAGGTCACTGTTATCTTCCAAGTATTTACTGAAAGGGTTGGGTTCATAGACTTCCTCTTCTTTTTTCAGTAATATTTTGGATTTTACAGGTACTGGGCGAATTACTCCAGGCTTAGTCTTCATGAATGATAAATTTTTAAAAAAATAGAGAAATAAATACTGTTAAAGTCACAAAAATATAATTTTAAAAATATTTACAAATATAATATTAAAAATATAAGTTTACAAATATATTATAAGCAGCCTGGAAAGCAAATGGTTTTAACTAATGTAGCTTTAGTTGGAAGTTAATTATGATTATTAACTAATCATAATCAATTAGTTGCTTGATTGTGACAGCATTCAAATTGTAAAGACCTACTCTCAGACTGTGGTAGTGGCTCAGCACTATAGCACTTGCCTAGCAGTATGAGGCCCTGGGTTTGATTCCCAGCACTACACACACACACACACACACACACACACACACACAATCTGTTACGACATTCAAAATGCAAATTCTCTTCATTTATCAAACCAAACATGTTATTCTTCCCTTGGCAGTACATTTGTTCAACCAATATTTCATTTGATAAATATTTATTGAGATCCTTCTCTGCCAGTTTTCATTCCAGGCATGACAGGATACATGACCTTGGAACAACCACCAAGTCTATTACAACTTTCGTTTTCCAGAAACTATTTCCCATGTCCCCCAATACACAGAGAAGGGCCTTCAGAAGACATATATGACAACATGGGGGTGACTAGCAAATACATTTTTCCTCCCCAAAATGTGATGTAGGGATTTAAATTGCCTGTATCACTGGAAAATAGAAACTATAATGTCAGTGTGGGAACTGTGAAAAGCCTTACTTCAACTTAAAATGTGGATCTACTGAAATCAAGATTAGAGCAAAGCACAACAAGAAGAAGCTCAGAGTGACACTTAAGACCTTCCAGAACTGAGTCCTCAAACATTCCTGGTATCCAACTAGATTTCCTATATTGAGTTTCCCTAAGACTTTTGTGTATTTGTACACTATATTCCCCCATTTTCTTATATCTAACATTTTTTCTATAATTTGAAAATCAGAAGAGCTTTATTTTCTATGTTATTCTCTCAATATTCATAACTTGTTCCCTATGTTGATTTGACAAAATATAAGAGAGAGAGAGAGAGAGAGAGAGAGAGAGAGAGAGAGAGAGAGAGAGAGAGAGTGAGAATGCTCTGGTTTGGGGCAATTTCAAAATGATGTTTCACAGACTCTAAAACCTTGATACACTGTAAAATGTCACAAAATGATTGATAAGTTTCCAAAGAATCCCAAATAAGAATTCCATAAAAAGTTGAGCCACTTTTTCTGGAAAGTAGTAAACTAGCTCTTCTCAGTCCATTTTGATGTTCACAAGTTAAGCCTTAAGGACCTACATCTATATCTCTTCTCCATTAAATCACCTTGAATAAATGCCGTTCTGTGATACCTTTTCCAATTGATATTTTCCCAGTTGTCTTCATGTATATGCTAACTGGGGAAATAAATACAAATTGAGAAAAGTGTCTTTCTTCCTTGGCTGAGGAATATCTCCTATTTTAAAAACTTTGATTTCTCTCAAAGGGGAAAAATATGAGCAAGTAATATGCAATATTTCATGAAATCACACAGTTAAGTATATGTATGACAGTGATATTTTTCCAATAAATATAGCACAAAAACAAAGCCCAGGCCATAACTGATATGTACAGCCACCTGTGATAAGAAGATGCCAGATATCTGGGCCACAATCTTCAGCCGTACAGACTTCCTGCCTCCTTTTTCCATTTGATTTTCTGATTAATTTTTGCCTCCTTCTACTCCTACTCCTGAAACTTCTCCTTCTCTTATATTCCTTTGTGAAATCAATACAGAAAATAAGTGCATTTCTACCTCCCAGGGCCTGCAAGGATCTAAAACCAACACGGAACACTAGGATTTCAGGTCAGTATCAGTGTGCAGAGAGAAGAAATCTGGCCAGCAGCAGCACTTGACATGGTCAAAGGATCTCCCTGTCAGAAAAACATGACTGCCTGGTCCCTGTCTTGCTAGAAGACAAATGTTTTGATTTATATTGCCTGGGAGCCTTTTACTCAGATCATCTGACTTGTGATCAGCACCCTCCAGAATGAGATCAGAAAGAGACTGTTGGGATTGGTTAGATATCAGAACCCATTATGAATGCTTTGTATTTGTTTTTCTGCTAGCTTTTATGTTCCTTGGTTCCTATGAGTTTCCTGGATTTGATGATTGTCTGCCATCAAAGACCATGCCCTATTTCCACGACCAGATTTTCCACATGCTCTTTTCTTGGAATCTGTGCCCCACATTTAGTCTGACTGAAGTCTGTGGACCTTCCTCATCCTACATTGTTCTTCATACAGTTGCCCTGATTATTGAGTTCTATTATTGCCTCTTTTCTTAGTCTTGTTTTGCTTCTGCACCTTAACTCATTGGTATCGTGATTAGTATTTCATAGTCATGGAAGTCAGCTCAAGACAAAAGAAGACTAGAAATAGTTTGCCTTTGACTTTGTTTATGCTTCCCTTCATATGACCTTTTACTATAAATTCCAAGCTCAACTCTCTTCTCTCTCTCTCTCTCTCTCTCTCTCTCTCTCTCTCTCTCGTTAGAAATTGAATCATGCATCCTCCACAAAGCACAGTACACAGCAAATCATGCTCATAGAAGCCTCTACACGTTGCTCTTGTTCTACATGCTTATTAATCCTTATAAACTCTGTGTGAAGTTAAAGACCGTAAGTCACATGTCAAAGTCATGTTGTTAATATGTAAAGTCAAGGTTTAAAGCAAGGTCTGGTTTGATTGTCAAACTTGTGATTTTAATTATTCCAAAGTGGGGAGAGAGAAAGAGAATAGTAGAGATAGAAACTTGGCCCATTTTGAGATAGGCAGCTCTTTAAAACTCCTGTTGTTCAAATAGCAAAGCCTCGTATTTTTATACTTTTGGTTCCTTTTAAATTCATTGCTTCTGCTTATTTTCACTGCCAACTGCCATATCCTTGATTGTAGCCATTGTTGCCTCTTTCTACGTCATTTTAATTTTCTTTTTACCAGACTTCCTAAATATTTATAGAGCACTGTGGACCCTGAAAATTTTAAGTCCTTATGAATATACAAATTCATTCATCCGTTCATTTACCTGCCTGCTTTTATGCATATACATGCACACACACAACCTACTCCACCTATAAAGACTATTAACATGTGGCCAAGACATCAAAATTTAATCTATTCCCAAGCAGTAGCATGATATTGGTAGGGAGAGAGTATCAAAGACCAGATGTCAGGTTTTAAAATGCAGTTAATAGACTATATGACCTTAGGAAAGCCATTTGACATGTCTAGACTTACTGCTAAAGGGTTATAATTCTACTCCATGATTTTGCCTTTTAATAATGGATAGTGACACATTTTATTCCTTATTGTCTTGCTCCCTCAGGGATCATACCATATAGAATTATTGCATATGGTTTATTTCTACATATTCAAATCCATAACAGTCTCAAAGCACATTTTAGAAAGTTTATAAAACAGGACTATGAAAAAACTGGTTCAGTTGCTGGCACACATGAGGCTCTTTTGGAATATTAGCTTCCTTTCTGTTCTTCCTAATACCTTGTTCCTCAGTGTCAAATGGTCATGTAATGTATATTTGCTAAAGCCTAAATTGCAACACACAGTAAACTAATGCTTCTTTCCAAAAAAAGAGCTGTCTGCTAGTAGCTTTCCACTCAAAATGGGGTCTGTAGGCCAGCAGTGTCAAATCCCCAGGTCTCATTCTAGACCAACTGAATGAGAATATGCATTTTAATAAATTCCTAAGTGATTCGTGTGCACATTAAAAATTAAAAGGCCTTGTATTGGAGTTCATACCATTAAAATGTGCTGTTTACCAAGATATAGATCTTTCCTGGGTTACCATCCTAAAGACTCTATTTCTTTGGTCTTCTGCCTCCAGACAGAAAGGAAGGCTTTAGGATAAACTGTCCTTTATTAATTTCTAATCTACACTGCATTCTTTGCATAATTACCTGTTTGAACTTCTAGTAGACGTTCTCTTGAAGTGCTACTTGGATTTTGGCAAATCTGATTTGTTAAATTTGTATCCATATGAATATGAAGAAAATTAGATTGATCAAGTTAGAAGAGTCTATAAAACAGAGTTACTATAAGATTGTCATTGCCCAGTATTATTACAACTTAACTAGCCCCGAAATAGCCATTTTTCATTTTCATCTGCTTTAGTGTTTGTAGAAGAACTAGAGTCATGACGTAATGTTCTGTTTAATCATGTCAGGAAAGTTATTCCATAATTTTCATTCCAGCTTAAGAGGATTTTTTTAAAGAACCTACTCTCATAGTTAATAAATAGGGCACAGAAAAAAACAATAGTATTCTTCCAATGAAAGATACCAGTTCATTGTGATGAACTTACTGAGAACTGATTCACACTGGGCATAATCATTTTTGAAGTGCCTCCAAGACAAAGGAATTGATTTGCAACTCTGAAGCACATCTATGTCAGATGCTCTCCAGTGTCATTTTGCAATTGAGACTTAGTCTATGTCGTAAACTATAATATCTACTGAGATGAATAAGATTCAACTCTTGTTCTCAAAGGCTTTACAACCTAGTTGAATAAATCACAGAATGACTATAGTATGGATCACATCATGTCATTCATCTCTTAAGTGATGTACTTAATTCCAGGTCAAACCATGTAACCTGAATTCTCAAACTCCCCCAGGCTTCTCCTTATCACTCAGAGTGAAGTCCAAAACCCTTGCAATACCAAGGTGCCATATAACCTGATTGTTCCTGTCCACAACCAGCCCCTCCGTTTCCAGCCTGAGGTCCTACCAGCTCCCTGTTGTCTCTCCTTCTCTTCACTGTAGCTCACACACTGTGATACTCCCTTCGCCTGGACTTTGTGCTTGTTCTTCCCTGTGTCTGGAACGTTTTTATTCATTTCCAGGTCTCCCTTTCTCTCCTCTTCAGTCTCTTCACCTTATTGAGCAGGTCTTTCCCAGTGATGCATATAAAATAGCAATCCCCCACGCCTTTACATGCCTGTTTTTGT